ATAAGTTACTTGTGATTTTGGAATTAAAGAAGTTTGTCAGGTTTTATTTTATTTGTGTCGTCTCAGGAAGATAAGTGTTTTACAACTCCAGTTTGTGTTAGATTTTGTCACTGATTTCATCAGCACCCACAGGCCCCTACTGCTTCATGTTGCCTCACCTTTGTAACTTTTACTTCTTTGTAAAGAAAAGAAACTTTAAATCATCAAAAACACCTGATTTTATGTTGCTTATGAAATAAGATATCCAACTAGGAATAGCAGGAAGCTAAATGTAAAAAAGAGACAAGTAGTACTTTCACACTTCCTGGTTTATCCCCCTAGTAGATTTGTGAAGTCGGGGTGAGTTGATGTGAGAACGCAGCGGGAAATATGAAGGCAAATTCACCCTGAGCATGTTGGATGGGATGGTGATTTTCATATCCTGCAGGTGGCACACGACCATGGACAGAATGAATTAAATGGTGTCATCGCGTTTTCAGTTCACCAGTAAGTTCTTCTCCGCTACTGTGATGAAAATGTGAAAGCGTCGAACTTCAGGAAGCATCGATATCAACTGAAGGCGTCAGTGTAATCCAGGCCGAAACATGTGGAGATTATTAAGTAATACGTTACTTTTAACAAATGTACTGTATAACTTTAATTCAAAGTGATTACTTGATTATTTCCCCAGTCACTGTTAAAGTTAATCAACTCTGTGCAATGATTGCTGAGTCATGTTTCTGTCGTTGCTATAGTAAATCCTCACGTCATGGACTTTTCCTTCAGACATCCTGGAGCCTGCAGACGTCTGTTCATCACATGCTGCAGAAATTTGGGACTGTGTTTTTGATGAACAGTATTGTCGCCTACGGATATCTGCATGTGCGTATTTCAACAACCTGACTTGCTGTGAAAATGTTTGCAGGGCTGCATTGGTGGAACTTCAAGAGGGAAAACAGCAATTATGGGCTTAGAGTTTAAGCCTGCATTTATCGAGGGAAACTATGGGAACGTAGGAGACCAGAGATGCAGCTCTGTAAAGAGTCAGCGGGAAATGAAAACATTCAGTTGGTGAATCTCTGAACACTTTTCTGTCTTTGACAGCAGACACTAGAGTGTAAGATGATGAGTAAACTTCCCAGTCACGTCCATGTGATGTTCTGTATGCCGACAGAAGAGCCACAAAATAACCTCTTCATGACATGACTGAAGTGTGGTGAACACTCAGTGATTACTTGACCGACCAAAGTGCTAAAGACAGCAGGCTTGGCAACAGGAAGGCAGGATGTGAAGCTTACCCAGACTGTGCACACTGTGGACCAGATCGAGTTAATGGTGCTTGAGTGGGCGATTGATGTGTACTTCCTGGTCCCCAAAGAGACTGTAACAAATACTCAAGAGTCCCCAGAGGAGATGGGGTAGACAGGCACAGCGTGTGCCTCTGTGGCATATGGCTCAGCGGATTGAGAGAGAGGAGCAGGTCCCAGTTTATAGATCAGTGATATATCAGCCAGTTAAAGTAAAAAAAAAAGGCTGCACGAGCAAAAAACGAATCACAGAAATTAATTTGTTACAAACTCTTGCAACCCAAGATGGTTCATGTATAATTAAGAGGAGGATCAAAAGTGAGTCAGACAGAGCGCAGGCGGAGGCGAGCTCAGCTGTAAGTATAGAGGAGAAAAGAGAAGAGGAGGACGTGAGGTAGATGTTGAACACTTCTCAGCTCTCAGAGTGCTTCTCATATCCAATCACTTTATCTCCACAATCATCAACAATAATTCACTTTTGTGAACGGTACAAATTGATTAACGTAGACGTTCTCTATTTTGTCGCTCCACTTGTTCCCAATTTACACAAAGTTGTTCTGAGCGATCCAAAAGTTGCCACCATGATGAACTTTCAACAAGCGCTGAAGTGTAGCAATGCTTATTCATCCTCTCTTCTTAATATGATCACTTCCTGCTCAACATACCAATGTAGACACTTCAAAAATGCCAAAACCTCAAAGCTTCAGTCCACAAATCAATGGGTGGAAGCAGAACCCTGAAGCTGACACATGCCAGACCTTGTGGCGCAACGGTAGCGCGTCTGACTCCAGATCAGAAGGTTGCGTGTTCAAATCACGTCAGGGTCAAAGGTTTTATAAGGCCATGTGCACAAAATGCTAAGAATAACAAAATGAGGTGACAGAAATTAGTATTCACACTTCTCTCAGGTTGTTATCCACACTGGCTGTATGTTTGTGTTAAAGTTGTGTCCTCTGAACTGTTCCAGACGCCCACTCAAACATCTGGCTCATATCTTAAAAAGCACTTGTGTACAGGCCTAGATGTTAGGTTGCGCACCTTGTACAGAAGCTATAGTCCTGCAAGCGGCCGGCCTTGTTTCAAGTCCGACCTGTGGTTCCTTTCCCGCATGTCAGTCCCCACTCTCTCTCCTGATTTCCTACTCTGTCCACAGTCCTGTCTAAATAAAGGAAAAGGCCCAAAATATATATATCTTTTTTAAAACACTTTTATAGTTGCATAAACAGTGTAGCAAATCAAACCTGACAAACTACAGGGAAAAATTCCTTGAGGAGTAATTTAGGGCTATGGTTTGGAATCAACGTGGTTCAATAACTTAAAAACTGCAGTTTGAGACTGAACCGATGGGTGAAGCAGCTTATAGGATCCAATGTAGTCGATGAACAAAACTAAATATGAGACCTCGTGGCACAACGGTAGCGCGTCTGACTCCAGATCAGAAGGTTGCGTGTTCAAATCACGTCGGGGTCAAAAGGTTTTCAAGGCCACAGGTGTACAAATGTTGGGATATCCCACTGATGTAAAGGTAAAGAAGAAGAGACTCCACATGGTTATGTGTTGTTTCCAAGAAAACATGAAGCGAGTTGTCTTACCAAATTATTTACCTGCATTAAAAAATTGTAGCTGCATAGGAAATGTAAACACAGACTGGACTCTTTAACTTCTTGGTTCTGACTAAATATAACAAACTACAGGTACATATAGTCAGAGCACACGGAGCTGTGTTTTTGTAACTAATTCAGCCCTCTTGTGTGAGGGAAATCTTGTCATTTGTTGTCAAGATGATGTTTCCTGCCATAACCTGCACTAAGATATAAGGAGTGACAATGCTGTGAACAGGGTATCCATCCACTTCTGTATGTGTTATTTGAAGTAACTTGCATGGGAACATTCATAAAATGAACCAATTATCCTGTATACATAACTGTCTGACGTCTCACTGCTCTTAGTTGTGATGCCTTTTGTCCATTATTGATGGCAGTGAGCTGCAGCCCTCCTCACTTATCTTACACCTTTAACAGAGGGATTCTCATAAATGCTCAAACCTTTGGTACTTTTAAACTAAGCATTGACGCAGCACAGTGTTGCTCTTGGCTGCAGGAATATTACACATTTCAGATGACTTATATGTGATCACATCATCCTGCAGTCCAAAAGGTCCTGGCTGGCTGTGATATCCAGTAGTCAGTGTTGATCCAGCGCCAAGTGTTCTCGACAAGGGGGGAGTCTACACTTCTACATTTACAGAGCCACTGCAGAGATCAATGGACCAGTCGCCTCCTTTCTGCTGAAGCATGGAAAACCGGTAAGCACTGGTAAACAGAGGAGAGAATGTGTGTGTGTGTGTGTGTGTGTGTGTGTGTGTGTGTGTATCTCAGGAGGAAGTGCTCTTCAAGAATGAGTGTTAATGTTGACCCAGTCGTCTCTGTTTACCTTCAGTGGTAAAAAAAAAAAAAAAAATACAACTGAGGTGCAGCAGAGAATATTCAGCTTTTTCAGGAAGTTGAAGGTATTCCAAGAAGCCATTCAACTACAGGTAAAGTTTATTTAGTCTTAATCTTTCTGCAGGTCCTGCCCTCTAAAACACAGAAGATTGTAGGTTTCCAAAGCTAAGCCACATAAAAGAAATAACTTGGCAAAACCCAGCCTGTGCTCTCTGAGGTATTCCCAACCATTCAAGAAAAAAGTGCAGCATCAACGTGACTCAGACGGTGATACCACCATGCACTGGCACACAGGAGAAAGTGCTGTTTCTTACCATGGAAACGGCATTAAAGTAGAATTCATTCTTAAGTCATTTAATGAGCCTTAGAGCACAGCCACTTTCAACCCACAAAGGGGAAAGCAATCATTGTCCTGGCCTGGTTGGGCCGCGTTCACATTTGGCACAGAGGTTTCACACAGTCATGTGTTCCATCATTTATTACATGGGACTAGGATGAACTTAAAAACGTTGGTGAAGATGTAGCTGCAGAAGTGCAATGAGTGCAGGGCAGGAGTCCCCCATTAAAAGACAAAGTACACGTTTTTATTGGCTTGATACTGCTGCATTTACCTGGTGACCTCTGTTGTGATCCAGAGTCATAAACAATGATTAAAGCATTGAAAGTGCAACTAAGGAATGAGTAAAAGTCCAACTTGTGCCTGTTAATGCCGCTTATGTTTAATGTTTTTTACTGTGTCATGTTAAACTGCAGTGTTGACACTTAGACACACACACACACACACACACACACACACACACACACACACACACACACACACACACACACACGGACTCAAAGAGCAGGTTAGTGTGTCCTCATTTATCCTCATTGCTCCACACACTCACTGGAGAAACATTGGGCACTTTTCTGTAAATACAACACAAATAGAGTTTGTTGTATATCCTACTTTTCTCAGGACAATCTAACACAAAATTGCTTCGAAATCTTTCCAGACCACTTGTGGTGGAAGTGGACAACTAAATTGCTCAAAGTAATCACCCTTAAGGAACTCCTTTCCCCTGAGCCCACTCCATCAGAAGCCCCAACTGCAGGACCCCTCTGACCCCTCTGGTTCTCGGGGCAGCTCCCGGCTCTCCTCTGCCCGACTCTGCGCTCCGTCTCAGCCCGGGAGGAGCGCCATGTTAAGGCAGCACGGTGCAGCTGCTCCAGAGCGACACGTTGTAAAAGCGATCACACACACACACACACCTTGGCAGGGCCGGCTTACCTTTGCGATCGCCTTCCGGTACCTCATGGCCGCCTGTTCGATCAGGTCCTGCACTCTTAAATTCCCATCTCCACACGGAACGACCACCCGGGTCCTCCCGAAACACACCGTCACTTTCATTTCTCTTGCGCAGCGTTAATCCCAGTGAGGTAAAAGCCGCGTAAAAAGCGCAATAACCATCCCGGGTGTGTGAAGCTTTAACAAAACTAAATCCACTTTAGTTGTGAAGAAGTCGAAGAGTAGTTTGGGTTTTTTCGTCCCGCGTCCTCAGAGAGACTCCCAGCCTGAGATCCAGCGGCGGGGCTGGGTGGCGTCCTCCCTGTGAGCACTGTTCACTCACACAACACACACACACACACACACTCACACAACACACAAACTTCCCAACTGAAGGCTCTTCCAGCGCGAGCGCACAACTGGACTGACAGAGCGCGCGCCCACATGTTAGAGCAGGCAGCAGGAATGTTTCACACACTCACACTCACACTCACACACACACACACACACACACACACACACACACACACACACACACACACACACACACACACACACACACACACACACACACATATACACACACCGAACAGTACAGAGCAGGTTATGCCTGAGGGAAAACCAATCAAAGCCACTTTACTTCTCTTCTCTTTCTTATCATGAGGAGTTGCGTAACACCTGGATTCACAATGTTTATACAGATTTTAGTCCTCCTCTACACCAGCAAGATGTCATAGAAAAGTTTATAATACTACGCTTGTCATTGGATTTAAGTTTTTCTCACGTTTATATGTTGCTTTGTGGGAACTAAACCGTAAATAATATCTTTACTCTCATGATGTTTTTTAAATGGTATCCTGATTTTCTTTCTTCCAGGAGATGATCAAAACAAACCTGGCAGCAGGTTTCTATGTTGTGCACTTCAAACAAAGAGGGTCAAACACCTGTAGGAGGAGCTTTTTATGCCAAATTTACCTGGTTTGTGTCGGAGGACAACAGATAGCATTTCCAGGTTTCTTAAACTCAGGATGAGGCCTTAATGAAGATTCATGAAACCAGGATTAAATGACTCCCCGACTGGTCTGGGGCCCCAAGCAGTTGCCTGCCATGCCTGTTGAAAAGCAGCGCCTCTGTACTAACCTCGAGGCTACTGGTGCCTCCCAAAAAAGTACATTGAGATGTGTATGGAATACATTTGTGAAAACATTTTTTTGTCAAATGTGGGAAAATACCAAAGAGACTGTGGCACTTCATGAGCTGACATTATCACATTTCTTTCTCTTCTTGTTTTTTTTTATTGTGATCAGCCGACTGACCATTTGTGATTATTTAAACAGGCATTCAGATCAAGACATGATTACAATAGCAAAACTCGCTGTGAATAAATGCAGAAATTAGTTTTTGTGCATCTTCCTGAGACTAAATGTAAAAATTTAATGTAGGATCTTACTGAATCTGGTGACAGTCGTTGAGTTTTCTGACTCATAGTTTGGTATAAGAAACCCTGATCCATTGTTTAGTCCTGTTGCAGAGATGATTACGCAGAGTGTTAGCACACTTGTGTTGGCACCCTGGGTGATTCAGCACATGGAGCATGTAAACAGATGTGGAATCTGAACATGAAACATGAGTCAGACTGAAGGAGACGAGCTCCTCACTGTGACCTATAAGAAGTCATATACACATATTCTTATACTGAGCAGCTGAGCCTGATCTCTGTTCGATCTTAACACTACAGCTATCAAAGCAAATATTAATGTAAATGTGTGTGTGTGACTGAATTATTGAACTGCAGTGTAAAATGAGAAGTAGGGCCTCGGGCTGGAGCTTCACTTTGACCTCATTTTCTGATAAAAAGCTGCAACCTTTCTGTGGAGCTTCTCTGCCTCCCTGCAGCTCTTCTTCTTTACCATTGAATGTGCTACAAATGAGTGAACACCAGTGAAAGATAAGCACTCAATGAAGACTTTTAGATGAGAAAAATCCGCTACATAAACTCTATAGTACATCCCTGCAGAAAACGAGTTGGTGTGAATGCAGAAACACCACTCTCATATTTCCTCCCAATTGGTTCAGTTTCTGTTTTGTTTTTATTTAATTGTATCATTACTCCTGGCATGTTGAGCCCCATTTCTGCAGGACATGAAATTAAAGGAATGTTCAATGCCACAGAAAAAAGGTATGTTGACCTTGCAGAGCAATGAAAGAGGATCAGAAGGCTGCATGTTCACGTCAGGTTCAATCATTGTTGTGTCTATGTTGAAGTTAGAAATAAAAAAAGACATAATCCTCCACCTAATTGAAATTTGAGGGTTTTCAGCTTGAACAGTTTCCCTCTTTCCCACGTCTCATATGCCCCCTAGAGGTAACAACAACAAATTACACTTCCATAAAGAGAAACCATGGGGAAGTTTGATGACCTTATGGGATGCTTGTTGCCTTTGCAGCAACATATCCAAGACTCTTATTTATTGACATTTTTTCATATCAATATAGAAATTATTTGTAACTAAAGCCAAAAATGACATAAATACAGAAAAGTTTAGTATTGTTCAGTTTAAAAAGAGTTTGTGAAAAATATATTTGAAAAGAAGCACGAGAGCTCGTTACCTCAAGAACCAGGTCACTTATTATTAAACTCCTGACTGGAGGAGGAGGAGGAGGAAGAGGAGGAGACAGAATTCTGCAAATTCTGAATTTGCAGAATTTTTATCAGATTCAGTCCTGAACAATGATAGAATAATTGTTGTTGGTGACTTCAATATCCATGTGGATGTTGATAATGATAGCCTGAGCACAGCTTTCATGTCACTATTAGACTCTATTGGTTTCACCCAGGGTGTAAACGAGCCTACTCATCGCTTTAACCACACCCTGGATCTTGTTTTAGCTTATGGAATTGAAATCCATAACCTTACAGTTTTCCTAGAAAATCCTCTGCTATCAGACCATTTTTTTATTACATTCGATTTTGTCCTACCAGAATTACCTCTGCCTGAAAGAGGTGTGCTCTCTAGAAGTTTGTCAGATAGTGCTGTTGCTAGATTTAAGGAAGCCGTTTCAGCTGTTTTCGATTCAGTACCGTGTTTCAACCCAGTTGGAAACTCTTATGATAGCTTTAGTCCCTCTCAGCTAGATCAGTTTGTTGATAGTGCAGTGGATTCGCTGAGAGTTACTCTGGATTCGATTGCTCCCCTGAAACAGAAGGTTGTCAAGCGGCGGAGAGTGGCTCCATGGTTCAACTCAGAAACCCGTACTCTAAAACAATCGTCGCGGAATTTTGAAAGAATATGGCGCTTTCAACAACAAAGTTTTAGACATCAGAGACAAAATTGGTAACCTCCTGCCCTTACCTGGTGCGGATACGTCTGATACGGCAGAGACAGTTCCAGGACCAGATATTAGTCTCGACTGTTTTTCTCCAATCAACCTTTCAGAGCTATATCCCATTTTTTCTGCGTCGAAACCGTCAACCTGTTTTTTAGACCCAATCCCAACCAAGCTGTTTAAGGAAGTTTTTCCCTTAGTTAGCAACTCTATATTAGATATGATCAATTCGTCTCTAATGGCAGGCTATGTACCCCAGGCATTTAAAGTAGCGGTAATCAAACCTCTACTTAAAAAGCCCACTCTGGACTCAGGAACTCTGGCTAACTACAGGCCTATATCCAACCTTCCTTTTTTCTCGAAGATCCTGGAGAAAGTGGTAGCTAAACAGCTGTGTGACTTTCTCCATGACAACAGTTTATTTGAGGAGTTTCAGTCAGGATTTAGAGTCCACCATAGCACTGAGACTGCACTAGTTAGAGTTACAAACGATCTACTGCTAGCCTCAGACAGGGGACTTCTGTCTGTGCTCGTCCTGTTAGATCTTAGTGCTGCTTTTGACACCATTGACCATCGGATCCTGTTGTACAGACTGGAGCATTTGCTTGGAATTACAGGGACTGCTCTAAGTTGGTTTGAATCCTACTTATCAGACCGATCTCAGTTTGTACATGTTAATAATGAGTCCTCTATGCACACTAAAGTTTGCCATGGAGTCCCACAAGGTTCAGTGCTTGGACCAATTCTCTTTACATTATATATGCTTCCTCTGGGAAATATTATGAGGAAACACTCCATACAGTTTCATTGTTATGCAGATGATGCTCAGCTGTATGTATCAATGAAGCCCGGTGGCACCAGTCAGTTATGTCAGCTAGAAACGTGCCTTAAGGATGTTAGGACCTGGATGACCAGAAATGTTTTGCTACTTTACTCAGACAAGACTGAAGTTATTGTGCTAAGCCCTAAGAACCTCAGAGAGACTTTTTCTAGTGATTTAACTGTCCTTAGTGACATCAGCCTGGCATCTAGCACCACTGTTAGGAATCTAGGAGTTCTTTTTGATCAAGATATGTCTTTTAGCTCTCACATCAGTCAAGTTTCAAGAACAGCCTATTTTCACCTCCGTAATATATCCAAGATTAGGAATATCCTGTCGCAAAATGATGCAGAAAAACTGGTTCATGCATTTGTTACCTCCAGACTGGATTATTGTAACTCTCTTTTGTCAGGGTGCTCTGGCAAATCTCTAAAGACTCTTCAACTGGTCCAGAACGCTGCAGCTCGTGTACTGACCAGAACCAGGAAATGGGACCACATCACTCCTGTCCTGGCTTCTCTGCACTGGCTCCCTATACAGTCTAGAATAGAATTCAAGATCCTTCTTCTCACCTACAAAGCGCTAAATGACCAGGCACCATCCTACCTGAAGGAGCTACTAGTGCCGTACTGTCCCTCGAGAGCGTTGCGGTCCCGGAATGCAGGCCTGCTGGTGGTACCTACAGTCTCCAAGTGTACTATGGGGGGGTAAAGCCTTCAGTTATCGGGCTCCTCTCCTCTGGAACCGCCTTCCAGCCGGGGTCCAGGAGGCAGACACAGTCTGTATTTTTAAGAATAGACTTAAAACTTTCCTTTTTGATAAATCTTATAGTTAGTGCTGGTGTAGACCAGCTCCTAGTTGTCCTGCTATAGGCTTAGACTACCGGGGAAACTGGCACCTTGAGCTCTCTCTCTCTCTCTCTCTCTCTCTCTCTCTCTCTCTCTCTCTCTCTCTCTCTGTGCATATACAGTACATCATATTACTGCATGTATGTAAATCTCAGTCACTAACCACCTACTTTCCTGAGAGCTCTTGAGCTCTCTTAGGCTCCTCAAGATCGTTGGTTGACGGCCTGCCAGAACAATTTTTGTTTTTATTGTTATTGTTTTATTTTATTAACTTTTATTTGCCATGGCCTTTGAGCTGGTCATGACAAAGTTCATTTCTTTAAAACTAAATATGATTCTTGTGTTGCGTTTAGTGCTCCAGAGAACTATTCTGGGTTGCAGTTATTCACTGTGTTTATCTGAGTTTAGAGGTTAGGAATGAGCTGGAACTCAGGATTCAGCATCACAGAAGTACTTTTCCAAAC